CAGGTGATTGCCGAAGATTTCAAAAACAGCGTGTGTGTGTGTGTGTGTGTGTGTGTGGCCGAACTGTGTCTTTCAGCAGAGGAGAACTGTAAACGCGCAACCATGTGGAGACAGAAATGACATGCCGTTGTGTAAATAAGTCATCACGTGTGCCGCATAATTGTTTGCATAATCGGGATTTAAATTTTCCATAATTGAGCAGCCCTACTCTCTGCCCTTTTATGCACCTATGTGGAAAGCCTAAGGTGGAGAGAGCACACCTCTGCCCTTCCACATGCATATGTGGAAAGCCTTAAGGCTTAAGACCTTAAGACCTCTCTTCCCTTCTGCACGCATACAAGGAAAGCCTAAGGCAGAGAGAGCACACCTATTTGCCCTTCCATGTGCATACAAGGAAAGCCTTAGGCAGAGAGAGCACACCTCTCTGCCATTCCACGTGCTTACATGGAAAGCCTGAGGCAGAGAGAGCACACCTCTCCGCCGTTCCATGTGCCTACGTGGAAAGCCCTAAGGCAGAGAGAGAGCACACCTGTCTGCCCTTCCATGCGCCAACATAGAAAGCAAGGAGAGCAGCAGCAAAGACCCCCTGGAAACAGAACAGAGTGGCATCAGTGACAAACAGAAATGACATTGATAAGTCAGACACAACATAAGAAGGAGCTGTGGTGGAGGTTGGTTACAAAGCAGCATGCAGAGGAAGCAGCAACAGTAGGCAGACCAAAGCAGTTTAAATAGAGCACCCTGAATGAGATTTGCCAATTGTTGTGTAGACAGGCATCATGTGATCTATTGGCTGATTCCCTTCCATCAATCAGCTGATCCATCAGTTGACTGGGCTGCTTGAGATCAGCTGGTGTAGCTGAGATTGGAGCTGGGCTTTACATCATGTCCTGCCCGAACTAACGCTATGCTTAGGTGAATGGGTAAAAACCAAGCAGCAACTTCTGAGGCTCAGAAGTAAAGCCTGTACGGAAGTGCCAAAAATTGCAATTCATCAACATGTTTACAGCTTGGTACAAAAAAACAGTTTAGGTTCCTATTGCTAATTTCAGCATTCATACAACTGAACAGGGGGTGAATTTTTTTTATAACTCACCCGTTTACATTTTATAAAGGCCGAAAATTATGCATATAAGGGCGGGGCTGCTTGAGTGACAGGCTTAAAATGACAATCCACAAACCAGTGGGTGACATCATGGAAAATACATCAATTATTTACACAGACTATCATGGACGTCGGAACTATTTTCTGAGAGGGGGGGGCGGGATTTTTGTTGGGAGGGGTGGGGGAAGCATGCACACTTATCAATGATTAAGGATTTGATTTGAAGTTATTTTATAATAACATGCAGTTATAAGAGAACTAGAATGGATGAACACTGCATCTTTATTGTTAAGAAAATGAAACTTTGATAACTAAATCAAGCCATTTAAGGAACATAACATTATTTGTAACCTTGAATGTAAAAAAGAAAAGTCTGCGCTCCTGACTCAGGGCCAAATTCACAAAAGGATTGCATGGCTAAACCAGTAAAAATGGAGCAAACAGATACCTTCTAATTCACAAAGCACGCGCAGAGGGTGAAATGCTCCACTAACTGCGCTGCCAAGCAGATTGCATCTCGGTGCTCCGGTGTTATTTGCACGTATTTAAATGAGGTAATATGCATATATTTGGCGCAAAAATATAATATATATTTATGCAAATGAGCCTCATTGATAAACAACGTCTAATTCACTAACACCAGCGCTAATAGCCACACGCAGGTTGAGTGAAGTAAATAACGTCTTTAGAAAGCTGGTGCAAACTGGGCGCTCCTCTGTGGAAGCCTCTCGTCCAGACTTTCCAGTGATCATGGCAGCAGTGATCGTCTGTTAAATCAGTCTGTAAATAATATTTTGACATTATTATTATAATCATTATTACTTTAATGGCATCCGAAGATACTGATGCGTTGAACGGGTGACAGTCTGCAGTTGTTCTCAAAACGCACTTCTGTCACGCACTTCAAAAGCAACTTTCAATCATTTATTTTACGAAACGGGGAAACAAACGTGAACAAAAACGGTTCCATAATTCATATTAAATTCAAAAGATAACGGAAAAACAGCTACAAGTGAGAGGGAATAGTGATAAAGTGGTCAAACTTGGTCAAATCCACAGCCTCACCCCATCCGACACTGTTAGACTGACTCACCAGCAGACATCACTACATGAGGGGATACAGTATTCAGTACTTTGCCAAACAAAGTCTAATTAATACCAGCGCTAATAGCCACGCGCTGTTAAGTGAAAAAAAATAACTTTGCCATGTGTGGCTTATTGCAATCACGGGCAAATCAGGGGCAAACTGCACTCAGCTGCCAAACTTTGTGGGCGTGTTTGCGCTGGTATATCATTAGCTCAATATCCTTTGTGAATAGGACGTTAAGACGGAGCAAACTGCGGGTGCAAGTGAAGTGCAATTCAAGGTGCTATCAGCGGCTGCAGTTCATTCTTTGTGAATTCGGCCCTCAGAGCTTTCATGCATTTCCAAAAGTGGACCTTCTCTCAGTTGACCTACTGATGAAGACTTTAAGCAGGGTCGAGACATCGCTTTTATCCATAAGGTCACTGTGAGCGTTCATAATGGCCAAATGTGTTAGTCTCTCCTGCGTCATGGTGTTGCACAGCCAGGTTTTCAGCCTGCGCAAGGCTGAGAAAGAGCGCTCAGATGCAGGACAGGGCCAGACAGAGCTTAATGAGCTTCTCCACCTCCGACAGCATGGAGCGGGTTTGGGGCTGCAAGGTTTGCAGGATGGACACAACATCCTGGATGCCAAGGCTACTGTATGTAGTCAGGCAGGTTGCATATTACATCAAAAGCATAGATCTATGCATTAATGAAAGAGATAAATGTAAGTCAGACAAATTGAGTTTAAATTCAGATTCTTTATTTTTTTTTAAAGCGTAATGCAGTGGGTAGGGAGGCTGGGGTGCGGGGGTGTGGATGGTTGGGCGTGCGGCTGCACCCCTAGTTCCGACGTCTATGCAGACTATGGTAAAAACTTCTGAAAGAGGCAAAGCTTACCTGGTGATGTTGCTTTAAGCCCATGCAGATGCAATGTCTGGTTATTAATTGTCTGCGCCATGTGACTTGGGCCCATACACAACTTCAGGCACTGGGTGCTACTCTTGTGCCTACTGTGTGCCAACTTTCAAGAGTGTGGAGGCAGATTGCGTCTGAGGTTGCTAAGCAACCCCAACCAGCACCGTATCATAGCCTACTTACCTGAAATCCTGAGTTCGGAGCTGATCCTCTTTCAGGGGTTGTTTTTTAAGTGTGGAGGCTTAAATATCGCTGGTGGGACAGATATAAAGTTCTGGGTAGCCCTGCACTAAATTGATCAGCTTGTTCTCCATATTTCCCACAGACTGATACTTATGAAATAAAGGAAGGATATCTGCCATCTGTGATTGGTTGTTCATTTCACATGAATCCAGTGCACACTGCTGCATTCCAAAAGTTGAACCACAGACTGTTGATAAATCTAGACGGCCCACTTCAGATCCATTTCCTGTGTCTGTGTCACATGGGTTTCACCACTGCCCTGCCCCTTTAGCAGAGGGCAGTTGTCTAGACTCTATTCATTCCAACTCCAAAACTGAACGTGAGTACAGATTATGATGGTTTCTTTTGCCTCATAGTCACTTGAGTAAATATTGGAGCCATTTTTTCACAAGCACCAAACATTTTGACACTGAAATAACTTTTTTTTTTTTTCAGACAGACAAATCAGGAGAAAATTAACTTTATTTGAGACGTGTCTCTGTTTTAGCAACATACTACAAACACTCAATTTTTACTGTATATAATGTTGTATTGTTTTGAATTTGATTTCATCCATCTACACAACGTTTACACCACTTCCAAGGTGGGGGTATGTGGAGACCAGAAGTGTATGTCATTTCATACCATTGGTACAGCTTGTGATTCATTATCTTTTGTTATAGAGTATGGTAAATGGTAAATGGACCTGCATTTGTATAGTGCCTTTCTAGTCATCCAACCACTCAAAGCACTTTTTTTTTTTTTTGGCCATTTGGCCTTTAATGGACAGGACAGGTAAGCATGAAGGGAGGAGAGAGAGAGAGGGGGGATGACATGCAGCAAAGGGCCACAGGCTGGTTTCGAACCCGGCCCGCCGGGCAACAGCCTTGTTCATGGGGCGCCTGCTCTACCACTAAGCCACCAACGCCCCACTCAAAGCACTTTTTACACTACGAGTGACATTCACACACACATTCATACACTGGTGGCTGAGACTACCGTACAAGGTGCCACCTGCTACTCAGTTTTTGACACACTCACACCCCGATGGAAGCATCATGGGGACCACTGATCTTCCAATTGGTGGATGACCGGCTCTACCTCTGAGCCACAGCCGCCCCCAGTATCTTTAGTTGAACTTTGGTTGTTTATCTCAGACCGTAGCAGCTGCACACCAAAAAAGTAGTCGCTTAGGAAGGCTTGCACATCATAATGACATCACTGTTTTGAGTGTGCCTGCCGCACCACTGCATAGAAACCAGTTGATCTGAGGGTATGTATGGCCCCTTAAACTGTACTTCATCTGTAATAGCTGTGTGAATTCAAACCAAGCAAATAGAAGAATGCAAGCAGACTTTTCCCACATGATTTGTAGCAAAGAAAATGAACTGTGTCATCACACCTTCAGCGTCAGTCCCTGGAGTCATGTGCATACCGCTGTTACATGAGTTAAATCAAATCACTGTTTTGGTAGCAATATGTTCACGAGCTTGTGACACCATGCTAGAAACAAACAGAAGAATACTTTCTTCGCTCTTATTGGGAAATAACATTTCTTTTAAATAAATAAAAGAATAAATCACAAACAGGTCCGGGTTCTGCTGGGTATGATTCTTGTTCTTTACTTGCTCTCCATTACATACAGATGACAGTCATAACCAAAATTCTGTATATGACTTCTTTTTCTAGAGAGCCCACTGACTTTTGCAGCGCACCTGGACAATGCAGTAGAGTTGATCAAGGTGCTGAGGAATGGAGGAGCTCACCTGGACTTCAGAGCCAAAGACGGCATGACTGCTCTCCACAAAGCTGCACGCTCCAAAAACAATGTCACACTCACGGTAAAGGAGCATGATTCCTTCCATCCTGCTTTCCTTTGTTTTCCTCTCTTAACACCTTACATGTGCATTGCTGGAACTGCTACAATACAAGCCTGACAATTTCCACACCAAGCTTTGCAGTCTTTTTGCTACATAAGCAAAAAATAGACCTGTCAGGATGAGATGATAAAGGGATTATGCTTCTGACTGCTCCAGTAAAGAGAAGTTAAAGATGGGTGGAGGCGAGACTTGTGCTGTTAGTCCTGTTTCAGAAACTAAGACAAGCAACATCGGTTTTATCTTTTATATCTGTCTTACAGTGCACTTTTATGAACATACAAGTTAATAACCGCAGTTCTCTTTTTTGTTTCACGTTCAATTATTGTTTTAAACTTTTAACAGCTTTAATATTTTAACCAGCTGAACCTTGTCATTTGTGTCAGATTAAAGCACTCTGTGACATTTGTTTTAAATAGAACTTCAGAGAGAAAGTTTATTGTTATGATAATGATGATAATGGTAATTATTACTAAAAATCTTATATTAAAGAGGGAATTTTTACCGTAATTTATAAATCGGAACTCTGGAAACTACAGATGTGATGAGCCACCTTGAACCTACCGTATATTTCCAAATAATCGCCCGGTGGCGAATAGCCGCTGGGCACCTAATAGCCGCCGGGGGTTTGACCCCATTTTGCGTATTAATTGCGGTCCGATTAAACGCCCAGGCGAGTATTATTGTAACTGTTGGTTAAATGGCCCGTTTGGTTGGTATTCGGATAAGTGGGGCTTTACTGGTATAATGCAATAGCACCACCTAGCGGTGAAACCCATGTACACGTGTACACGAAAAAAATGACCCACTCTAAACATTTAGAGATTTTTGTACACAAACTCACCCCTACATTATACAGTATTTGTGCACTAAAAACATACTGGACAGGAACTGTAACCAAATAACGGCCTGGGGCAGGTCGGTGCAAAAAAAAAAAAAAAGCCTTGAGCAAATAGCCGCCGGTTCTTTTAAACGCCTGGGATCAAAATCGATTTTGTGAAATAAATGCCCGGGCTACTATTTGGAAAAATACGGTAATTCATATAGACCCTTTTAGGGCTGACATCACAATGATGTCAGTTTGTTAGCTGGAGGCAAAACACGACTCACCACCACAGGGCTGTAGGCTACATAGGAGTCTTAAAATGTCATCTTGTTGTGTTATTGGGAGCCAGAATAGTAGGAGTCATGGCGCGAAACTTATATTTTAGCACATACCACCTGACACTGCTCGTCAACAAAAACAAAGACAACTATGGTTAAATGAGATAAGACAAAAGGACTGGATGAAGGCGATCATCAAAAATGCTCACATGTGCAGGGCACACTTCATATCAGGTTAGGGGAAAAGTATTTACTGTTGTAGAGATGAATAACGTTATGTGTATTAAGGGTTATCATGTCCACATAATCAGAAATTGGGGAGGTATTAAAGTGCAACTTGCAGGTTAAATTTTTTAAAAAATATATACATAACCTTGTCTGAAAATTACCATATGAGAAGTTAATTCAGAATTTATTATGGTTTACATGACATAAGGGCACTTTGGCTCTTTTTAGCTCCTCTTCTAAAAACGCTTTTTTTTCAACATCGCCTGATACTACGTCACGAGAGGGACTCTGCATCCTTGACCCTGCCTCTGTCCAATGCACAGTAGTAGGTGGTAGTGAGTCTGAGCGGTAGTAAACTTGTGAGTTAGTATTTTTTCGGTTGTTAACAGTGCATTTCACCATTTGTGATTAAGCCGAATTATTGTGTTTGTGCAGGTTGCACAAACTCGAGTCTGTCAGGACATGGAGTCCACCGTTTTAGTTAGTTAGTTTTCGTGCCTGGGTGCATTTTGTGCAGATGAAGAGGCGCGATTTCACGGCTTCATCTGTCACCAAAAACGCGGTTGTGTGCAGCGCTCATTTTGGACAGGAGGATTATGTTCCTGGCGGAGCCCACCTGCCCTCACACACTGGGGGTATGTGCGGGGCTGCGAGCCTCACACCGCCCGCTCTTGTCTCAAAAACAGAGGGCTCCCTCTCCACGGAGCCCGATTGCCCTTGCGCATATGCCCGAGGCTCGAGTCTCCCTCTTGTGACGTAGCATCCGCGGAGAGGGAGGCCTCCGTGTTTGAGACGGGACCGGGCGGCGTGAGGGTTGATGGGCAGTGTAAGGCATGTTATGTCTGGTCTGGGGGTCAGATTCTCCACCAGAGCCCAGAAGGCATCCACCTCCCTGAAGCACATAGGCCTACTCTCCACAGCTGAGGACATGGGCTGGCAGTTCCCACACAAGCACCTATCATACAAAAAATTGTCAGGAAATCTTAGTATCTCTCTCTCTCCCTCTCTCCCTCTCTCCCCTGCGGACATCAATACACCGTAATGCGGAGTTATAACATACATAGCTTGTACGTCTAATACAAGCTGATATTTACATTTACATTACATTAGTTTCTGTTATGGGTAAGTAGCATTAAGGCCAAAACACACCGGCGGCGTACGACACGCGTCAAAACAGCCGCCCCCATTATTTTCTATTTACAAACCCATATTGGCGGTGGCTCGGCGCGCGTCGATGTGCTGCGCCGTGGCACTTTACGCTATTGTCCTATTTTTCCAGCATCAACACCCTTGAAAAAGCGCTATTTTGTACTTCCCAACCTAGTGGACTAGAGTGTGCAATAGAAATCCGGTTGACGCCCTGCAGCGCGACGCTTTTTGTGTGTGTTGGGGGCGGCACTTGACTCGCGTCAATGACGCCGCCGTCATATGACGCCGCCGGTGTGTTTTGGCCTTTAGTTATCTAATACTGGCAGGACTATTGGTAGCTTTGTTATAACCTAATATGTGATGGCAAACTTAATGTTGTGATATGAACACTGCGTTAGACATTGTTAGCTGTCGTTAGCTAACGCTGGTCGCTCACCAAGACACCTGCCCAGTTCTCCACTGGTTCTCCTCACACCACAGCTCTATTTCTCTCCTGTGGCCGTTATTTCTCCTAACCCTGATCTGTTCCTGGTCTCTTGGACGCCTAGCAGGCTCATAGTAATTATAAGCCTGTGGGCTGTCATATGCATATGAATGTACATTTTCAACCTCTTCAGTCTCAAAACTAGTACTGGGATCCATGTTTATTAATGATACACTCAATCGAACTCGGCTGGACTCCCTTACGCTACGTCACTTCCAGTTAGTGGGTTTTTAGATGTGGAAGCAAAATTCTCTCACAAAAATGACCCCAAAAGTCACTGTAGTGTGTAAATGTTTTTGTTTTTTGTTTTAATCGAGTTTCTACATCATTTTCCTACACATTTATTCACCATGGTCTCCAACCTGCAAGTTGGGCTTTAAGAGGAATGTTGGATTTCTCTGTAACACTAACTTTTTAGTGCATTAGCTAACATTAGCTCGATAGTAGGGTCGTCACGATACTAAAATTTCAAACTCGATATCGATACCCAGGAAAATATTCAATACTCGATACCATTTTCGATACAGCAGCAAAAAATTAAGATCATGTCATTTTTTAAATAAAGATCAGAACAGTAACATCAATGATAACAACAAAAAAATCCCCCCAAAATAAATAACAACCAGAAACAAGATCTGTCCATACAAATGTATTTATCTACAGCCCTGTTTATTTTCTGTGCTTCTGGTGAATTGGCACCATATTTTCGTTGCTGATCAAATAGAGTTGGTAGTTTAGGCTCAGGATGCTCCTGTTTCTACCTCACTATGTGATCAGAGAATCAGGGGTTACGGGAGAAACCAAACGTTTTTTCAGCTTCAATCTGTGACTTCACAGTTAACATAACTTTTCAGACACACATAATTGTGTTGTCCTGTTAAACTAACATTGTCTATTAATGTTACAGACGGGCATGACTGATAAAGTTTTCTGCTTAGCTCCCACATTAACATTAGAAGTGATATTTTAGTTTGATGCTGGTGACACCAGGTGCTCAGCTGCTAGTGAGGGGAAGGGCTGTACCTGCCGCCTGCAGCGTGCTGTGTTCACTTCACTAAATATTTCCAAAGAGCGCTTTTTCCTTTATCATTTTTGACCAAAACTGGCTGCTCTGATCCTCCTGCAGCCGCGCTGGCCATATTACAGCAACAGAAATGTGTGCATGCATGCACAGCGATGACAACAAGCCGGGTTGCAGCGAGGGCTTCTTTGCCTGCCAGATGCTGCCTGCACAGCGCGTGTCCACGCGCACCCGACAGGCGCTGAGGTGGCGTGCACTGTTAGTATCGATACTTTTGTAAATTAGTATTGTATCCGGATACAGCATTTGAGTATCAATACTTTTCAGAGTATCGATACTTTTGACAACCCTACTCGATAGCAAAACAAACTGGAGGAAACCGTTGAAGTGTCATCTGTCCCACCTTCAGCAATCTTGTCAAATCATCCATCCACTGTATGAGAGCATAGAGGTCGGCCAGTCTGGTCCTGTTAGTCAGTGTATACTTATTCAAGTAACACTAGTGGTCCTGGAGAGTGAGTAACCTGACATCGTGTGTTTGTAAACTCAGTCTGACACTCTACACTAAAATGAGAGCCCTGTTGGTGAAAGAAACGCAGCTTCATATTTCTATATGAATTAACGAGCAGTTAAGTTTATCACACATTCGCTCTGCTCGGTGCTCTGCTGCTCTGTCTCCACAGACAGAGTGCGGTGCTCTGGATAACCGAACACTACATTCAGACAGTGCTCTGAATTTACGAACAGTACAGTTTGCTCCAGAGTGCGCTCCGGCACTTGGATGAGTATTTCTGAATGCACTACGTGTATCATCTACTACCACTGTCTAAAACAAGCCAAAAGAACTCGCTAGCTAGCACTAGCTAATGTCTGTGCAGAATTGTTTTTATCCAGCTAAGCCCCGCCCACCAAAAAACATCACACTGTTTACTAACAGTAAAAGGGTCTATACCCCTTCTCCCCCCTCAGACACTACTGGAGTTGGGAGCTTCACCAGACTACAAGGACAGCCGTGGTCTGACTCCTCTGTATCACAGCGTGGTCGTGGGAGGAGACCCGGGCTGCTGCGAGCTCCTGCTGAACCACCATGCCTCAGTCTGCTGCCAGGACGAGAATGGCTGGCATGAAGTTCATCAGGTAAACACACACACACACACACACACACACACATTACTAGATTCATCAAGTGCCCACACACGAGCACAGAGAGATTTCTGTCTGTTGGGTTGTTTGGGACAGCTGGTATTGGGAAAGCATTACTAAAGCACACACAGACTCACACAGCCTTCCCTGGCTGTGGGCGACTGACTTGGCAGCTGTTATCCGTTGAAGTAGATAAAGCCCTTTAAGGAGAGCCACCCTGCAGCAGTGACAAACTAGAGTGTATGTGCGTGCATCCCTGTGTTCAGGCCATCAGCTTTATCAGATTGCTTGTATCTCTCTTCCTGTCGAGTTGCAAAAAAAAAAAAATCTCTGCCTTCCCCCATCTGTCCTGTTTCAGACATGATAACAATCAGCTGTCAGGCAGGACAATGAACAACAGAATGGCTGCTGCTAGTTCAGAGTTCAAGGTTGTGTTTATTCATTTCTAAAATCCTGGAATTCGCATCACATCCTTCCCATCCTACACAACATAGAAAAGAAATTCACACTGACTGTCAAAGAATCGAGGAATACTAAGATCCACAACATCATTAATAACGTTTTGTTTTTCTGTTAAATCCCAGTCCTCTGTTATTCCAGTCAGCCCTCTAGCTCTTTTGGATAAAATCAGTTTGACTTATTTTCCTATCATATGTAAGGATGCTGCATATTACAGACCGAAAACACATCCTTTAATTTACATAATTTATTTTAACAAGTGCTGAAAGGATGGAGTATTATTCAACAACAATTTAGATAATATTTTAATATTTTAAGTCATTTATCAGCAACACAACAAAGACTCCACAGCCATGCAAGAGGCTCTGAAGCATAGTGCTGCTTTGAGCTAAGTGCTAATGTCAGCATGCTAATGTGCTAACATTTGGGGCTGCTGTGGCTCAGGAAGTAGAGATTGTCTACCATTTGGATGGTGGGTGGTTTAATCCCAGTCCCTTGGAGTCAACCTTGTATGGCAGCCTTGGCAAGCAGTGTGAGAAGGTGACTAGTGCTTGTGTTACAAAGTGCTTGGAGTGGCTGCTAAGACTAGAAAAGTGCTCTGTAAATGCAGTCCTTTCATCATGCTATAATGTTCACCATCCTAGTTTAGCGTGTTAGCATGCTAACATTTTCTAATTGGTACTAAACACAAAGTACAGTAGGGATGGGCCAGTATACAATGTTTTAGACCAGTTTGATATCAAGAACTGGACCGGACCAGTATACTGAATTTCACACACTTGACTCAGCAGTTGCTTCCGAGTGGAACATAATAACACCATGCCCTAATAGCAAACGAGCCGGAGCCCTCTGTCTGCACTGAATACATTACTTTTTAAAACAGAATACATATGTTTTGATGTTTACTGGAAATGATAGCCTAGCTTGTTATAAGCATGGTCATTTATCTTACCAGAAACTTGCAGCTCCCTGGCGAACTCCCTTTAGCCAGCTAACACCTATGTTTTGGGTTTTTTTGTAGTAAAATAAAATGGCATGGTGTAGATTTTGGTGCAGTTTTAGTTATATTGAGAGACTCATTCTTCCCTGTCTTCTCTTGTCACCTCAAAAAACACATGAGCATTTTAATAAACAAACACAGCATCCTGGCTCTTTCCCTCCTATCTCTTCTGAAATTTGATATCTGTTATTTTAATTTGATATACTTTATTGCTCAGCTTGTCCCCCCTCCCTGCTATGCTTTAGTGCTCAGCTCACAGCCTATCAGACACTAGTGGCTCCTGCGGCTCTGTTTATAAACAAACATAATATTACGTTCGCTACTTTGTCATATAATTTTTAGGACTAATGCAATACAAGTTGGATTTAGCGCCCTGACACTGTCAGCACAGGTTGCTTATACAGCAATATAACTATATTATATTATATAACTGAATTTTCTATCCATACATATAAATTTTAAATATATTAAAATGATAAGGCATCTTTGAGTAAACTGCGAGTATCATTTAAATAGGCTATGTCGTGGCCGGGCCGAGTGTTCTCTTTTTTGGAAATCAAAATATGGTCACCCTATGCTAACAGCACCACAACACAAACACAGACACAGACCACAAACAACAACAAGGCAAGCAGTTGTTTTTTAACGTTAGCTAGCTACTTAATTCATGCTGGGAATATGGGGAAATGTAAATTTAACGAAGCGTGGATGGATAAAAAATTTTTCCGTCATTGGTTAAAACCTGTGGTAGACAACGTTTTTGAGGCTTACTACACCGTGTGCAAGAAGAGGATTCAACTCGGAACAATGGGAGTGAAGGCATTAGACTCTCATGCCAAATCGACCAAGCACATGAAGTATGTCCGAGGAAAGGAACAAACTCCTTCCATCACTGCCGGGTTCCCACCAGCTAGCCAGCTAGCTGCTAGTGCTCCTGCAGCCCCTCTTGCTACGACTACAGCTAACGTTAACGTTAGAGTCGATCTACGCATGTCTTTCGGGTCCACGCCAACGCTGAAAGCAGAGGTGTTGTGGACTCTTCACACCATCGCCAAACACCAGTCCTACAATGGAAATGAGGTTATTTCAGAGCTTTTCAAGTGCATGTTCCCCGACTCCGACATCGCCTGCACCTTTACTTGTGGTGCCGACAAAACGGCTTACATAGTTAAGTTTGGGTTAGCCATTCACATCAAAGATGAACTGGTGTCCAAAGTCAACAAATCGCTGTTTGTTCTGATGTTTGTTTTATGTTTACACAACCACAGATTTTTTTATTTATTTTTTATTTTTATTTAACCTGTACAGGAGTACTGTGGACTGCTATTTTGTTGAATAAACTAATACTCTGAAATTCAAGGATTTCATTTTTCTTTGCCGGTAGGGCTGTGAAATAGGCCAAGAAATAGGTATTAATTTTTGATATAAATGGTCTTAAAAAGGTCTTAAAAAGACTGGAATTTGACTTGAAGACACCTGTAGGAACCCTGTATTAGTATGAGTCCTTCCAATTCAGGTCCTACAGAGGCTAGGCAGGATAAGACAAGACAAGACAAGACAAGATAAACTTTATTAATCCCACACAGGAAATTCACAAGACTCCCTCCTAGCCTTTGGTGAACATACATTGGAATAGGCTAGCAAGTGCCTAGTTGTGTGTCACTGAAAATGCCCTGTCTTCCGCTGAGGATACAGACCTGCATCGTTCCGAAGAAAGGACTCGGCCTCAGTAGAATTTGAAGGAGGTTTTAATGACGTAGCCTCCCTGAAATTCAGCCATTTAATGCCTGGTTCACACTGCTTGACATTTCTGTCCGTTCTGATAGTCACTATGTCACATTAGGCGATTATAAAATTGCACCGTGACTTGGAGGACAGACATGACATACTACATGATGGTCCACACCAATCATCCCTGGTCATCTTTCATGATGTGTGTGATGTCATCGGGTTATTCTTGTCCTATTTTTATTATTATTACTATTATTTGAGTCACTGTGTCTGTTCATGTGCCAGCCGAAATGCTGTTATAGTAATATAAAAAAAGGCACCAGATGACAGAAGCTACATTTGAAGCACCGTACGCAAACATACAAGTCACTGAATCCTCCACAAGTTCCTGCAATTGTTTCACAATTAAAGCCTATTAAGAAAATGAAGGGATTCTCTCACCCAAAGTTATAATGGGCTTTTAATTTAAAACAGATTTTGAAATGACGACGCAATGCATTAGCCTTATCAAGGCTAAAGAGGGAATAACAAATAATGGCCCGTTTACAATGTAGTCTGTTTCAGATGAAGCTGGTACCCTCTGCAGTTGTGTAAAAGCCCCACCACTATTTTTTTAAATTTCTTACTTTATGTCCTTCTCCATTTAGAAGAAGTAACATTGTTTGCTAGCTCTATGCTAATGGCAGTACTTCCCAGGTTGACAAAGTGCCTCTGTAGTTTCACACTGTCATTTTTCCCTTTTTACTCTGTGTGGTAACATCCCTAGAGGAAATATCATAAAGGCTGGGCTGTTGTTGTTGTACAGTTGTCTACAGCGGCAGATCGCTCTGTGTTTCTGTTATTCAAAGTGACTGCTGTAAAGGGAGCAGTTGTGAACGACAAAAAGAAAATGAAACATGCTAGACTTTCTGTTGGAACATCGTAAGGTGTCCCAGACATGGTGTCGATGGTCGTCTACTATGATATACTACACGAGATGAAACGATGGATTTTAGCGTACGACACTTACTGACATTCACGATCCGAGCCGACACAATATGTCGCTGCATTGGGCTTTAATCAGGCTGATACTGTGTAGTGTGAACCAGGCATAAGGATCCTTCCTCAACTTTGAGAAGGACCATCAGTCTCTGAATATCATGAATGTCCCTGGCAGTCCATCCAATTGCTGTTGAGATATTTCAGTCCAGATCATAGTGGTGGAGCGGACAGGCATCCCTGGATCCAGAATTGTATTTGACACAACATTAATAAGAAAGTGAAACCAAAAAAATCTGCTTTAAAGCTTCTAAACCTTTGCAGTTGAGTGGTATTAGTGTACAACTGAAATCAGATGACATTGTTCAAAATGTTAGTAGATGTTAAGGAAAATAGTATCATCTCTGCCATTAGCCCCTCTACAAATAGGCCAGTAAAAAGAGATCATGAAAGTCATGACAAATCCAGTGTTCCAGAGCATTTAGCATAATGTTTTGCCTGGCTGTGCAAATTCTAAAGTATGTAACAAAATTCCATTCCACTGCTCACTTGATGATGAAATACTTCTTACTGTAACCTGTTTTGGTTGATAAGCAGCTATTTGGGTTTTTGTCCTTTCCTCACAAACCTCTCAGTCTCTGAAATGAGCTACAGTGTAAATAGGCCATTTCAAAATAATCCCCCCCTCCTGCCAAACACCTAACTGGCATCTGTCACCATTAACCCAAACATTAATGCCATTTCCACAGAAAATTGGTTCATAAAAGCAATAGCTTTCTGCTTAGCTTCTGTTTTTGTCTGTCTCTTTACACTCTGTCTTGATGAATTCAATTGTGCAATCTTACATTTCTTTAAGCTATTTCTCTGCACATGCTCATCTATCCTCTCCATCATTTGACGACTGGGTTCAATCTGAGGGTACGGCTGCTTCTCATCTCCTTTGCAGCACACTGACATCTAGTGTTAAAGGCTTGTTACTGCAACTGCTGTCCAGTGGAGGTGTCAGGGGCTTTTTTTTAACTACTTTGTGTGTGTGTGTGTGTGTGTGTGTGTGTGTGTGTGTGTGCAGGCTTGTCGTCATGGCCATGTGCAGCACCTGGAGCATCTGCTGTTCTATGGAGCAGACATGAGTGCTCAGAATGCCTCTGGAAACACCGCTCTACACATCTGTGCCCTATACAACCAGGTGAGCGGGGAGGGGGGACAAGTGTGTATGCCTTTCTGTACTTGATGAGTTGCGTTTGTGTGTGTGATGTGAATGAAAGCGCATACCACTACTGAACTGACCTGGTACTATTTTAAGTTAGTTAGTTAAGCCAGTGTCATCATTCCTGTCGTAAAAAGCAGGAGGAACGTAGAGCAACACGCTGTGCTGTATGTAGCTTATAAAGGAATATAAGGCACACATTACGAAGAAAAACTGAAATTCTTATGAGCAATAAAATATTCACTTATAGTGGGAGTGGGAGTAGTGAAAAACTTTCTTGAAAAGAAAAAGAAAAAGCAGTGAATTAGGTGGGATGGAAATCTCTGAGCAGATAGATAAAGGCCCTTTTAGGATTAAGGCAGAATTCAGTGATTTTGATACCTTAAGGTTTGATCTTTGACCTTTTCTGAGCTGTGTATGATTAACATTGAGCTTTTTTAAAAAAAAAAAAAAAAAAAAATACATCTGATTTCTTTTTGTGTGATTATCTTCTCAGTTATGTTCTATAAATTTATTTTTTTGAATTGCATTCCCATGTTTTTCAGTATTTTCAGCTCAAGGATTTGAATGTATATTGGTTTTGTATTGAATTTGATAAATCCCAGTTGCAGCTTCAACCTTATACATTATCAGGACTGGCACGCCAGGGTCTGTTTGATTTCACTGTGCTTGAAGAAGAGACAATCTGAATACAAAATGTTGTACTTTTCTAAATGTAATAAGGAAGAAATTTTAAAGGGAGCAGATCACAGTATTGCCAGTTATTGGGGATACTAACATACACTTAATAAAAATTTAAAAGCAACACTTTTGTTTTTGATCCCATTTCTCACAGGTTTAAGTTTAAGGTCTAAGACTTTTCTTGCACTCAATAGATATATTTCTCTCGTATTTTGGTCACAAATTTGTTAATATCTCCTTTTCCAAGATAATCCATCCACCTGACAGGTGAGACATATCTACATGCTAATTAAACAGCATCACTAGTACTCTAAAATGTGCAGTTTGATCACACAACACAATGCCACAGATGTCACAATTTTGAAGGTGTGTGCCATTTGCATGATGACAATAGTAATGTCCACCAGAGCTGTTACCTGTGAACTGAATGATCAATTCACTACCATAAGACATCTCCAATGCTGTTTCTGTGAAGTTGGTAGTACATCCAAGTGGCCTCACAACCGCAGACCACATGTAACAACACCAGCTCAGGACCTCGACATCCGTGGTCTTCACCTGCAAGATCATCTGAGAGCAGCCGCCAAAACAACTGTTGCAATAATTGGTTTGGACAACTGAAACACAACTTAAACCATTTTCAGCCATTTCTGCAGAAAACATCTCTTTACCTAACTGCAGTTCATCATTGTAACCAACTTGTGGGGTTGTGAGGCCAGATGGATGTACTGCCGCATCAAAGGAAATGACACTGGAGACATCTTATGGTAGTGAAATGATCGTTCAGTTCACAGCCATCAGCTCTGGTGGACATTCTTGCATGCCAGCATGCTAATGGCACACCCCCAAAAACTGTGTTGTATTTATATTTTTAATCAGTAGTCTCCCCACATTCTAACAATGCTTTTTAAGTTCATAGCATCTGTCAAATAAAAAAACAGACATAAGACATAACTGTCTATTTGAGCTGAGGCAAAATAAGAAAACATGTTACACACTGCAGAAATGGAGCTCTGGCTGACCACTGTCAGACGTGTTTTCCTGTATTAGCTGGCAGTTACCTGATTCAGTGACCTCATATGCTCCATGCTTACCTTCTTTCTGTATGCTGACGTGTATATATTTGCTGCTGTTTCTTCTGCTGACTGCACCTCATTCAGCTCTTGTACACACCCTGCGGGGTCTTTGTTCCTTCATCCCCAAGGGACAAATCGTTTGCTGTTTTTTCTTGCATGTTATTTATCATGTATTTGATGCACTTACGCTGGTCTCGTGCAGCTTGGAGAATTCCCAAAAGTATAACCACACTGCTAAGTCACTGTCTACCTCTAATTGCAGTAAATGGTTAAACTATGTGACTTTTCTCTTGGGTAATAGCTACTTTCCCATTTTGATGTGGAAAGTAAACATCTTACATGATAAAGGAATTCATATTAAAGAGAACTTTCTCTTGAGGGATGTTGGTGGCTTAGTGGATAGAGCAGGCACCCGATATACAAAGGCTCTGTCCTTGCTGCATTTCAGTTCCAACCTGCAGCCCCTTGCTGCTTGTCATCCCCCCTCTCTCTGCCCCCTTCACGCAAAACTGTCCTATCCATTAAAGGCAAAAACGCCCCAAAAAGAAATCTTAAAAAAAAGAGCTTTCTCCTGTACATGTGATAATTCTTTTCTTATTTTTTTTTTTATTTATTTCTGATGGGTTTCTGAAACCAAGGCTTATTAACTTCCACCAACTAGCTGTTTTGGGATCCATGTGGTCCCACATGACTTCATTTTGTCTTTTTTTAATTCTTAAATTTTACATAAAATGTGCTTCATTTGAATTTTACCTTAGGCAAGATGTGACACTGCAATCAAAGTTGATATCACCTAGATTTGTCAGAAAATGGAATAGTATTTCACCTTTTCGCCAGCAGGGTACAGCCATCTTTCAATAAGCTAGGTGGTGATATCACTGTGATGGTTGTTTACTGTGAGCGCTGAATGCAACACTGTTCTTCAGAGTAGTTTAACTAGTTTTTAACTTAGTAAGTGCTGATATAGTGGAGTTTGAGAGTTTGGATTACAAAGAACCATGGACAAAGTTAAAATTAATTGCCTATGCTTTTTGAGCCAGTATGATCAAATATGGTGATAAAGACCTGTTCTCATGCAGTTGGACAACAGCGGCGAAAGAGAAAGTGAAGAGCTGCCTTAAATTGATGAATGTTACATTTAATATTAGTTTTCTACAGCTGACAAACCACACAAAACACTTCTCCACACCAAATATGTACTTTACCAGTGTCTTCATCAAGATGTCAGAACACAATAACAATACAAGATGATTATAATATTTTGATATTTTGTCACACTTAATATAGCTAATGTAAGCCTAACCAAGAGGTCACATCTACAAGCCATCTTCTATCATGATCAACATCATTCCCACCCAAAGACTGAGTCGAATGGGGCATTTTCCACATTAGATAGATTGCTCGTGGTGCAAGTTAGTCTTTGCATTCATCTGTCCATTCTCTTGTTGGGGTATATAATAGACTGTTATTCTTGACATGGAAACACCACCAAGACCTTGCTGGCTCTTCAGTAGAATTTTGGAAAAGGAGAGGTCCCTCCCTACGGACAGAATCAGCTTATAACGTCAGGCTGGTCGTTGATGTTAGCTTTGCCATAGATCTTAAACCAAAAGTTTTACCCTGTTTGCTCCTCAACATTTCCATTATGGGTCATTCCCTGGTATTGTATATCCATATAAGTAATCTCACACTTCAGTATTTCCATCAAAACAGCAAATAAGGTGGAACTGCACCGTAAGCCTGCACCACCACCAGTGGACACCAGCGATGGAATGTGTGTCCCACCTGTCGGGCGCTATGTGACTTCCTGTACATTCAATCATTACTCTATTCAAAACATCCCATACACTGGCTGTACAAATATTATCAGACAACAAAACAGCCATTGAATAACAAATCGTGCTTCACAGTACCAAGTTTACCATGCTTAGTTCAGTACAAAGCAACACAGTGACATCACCAGCTAGCTTGTTGAAAGATGTCTGTGCCCTGCTGGTAAAAACATGAAATACAATGTAGTTCTCCAGCATATCTAGTTGGACATCAAGTTTTGGTGCAGTGTCATAACATTTATGGTAGTGATATTCTATATATTGTGGGTGACTCTGGGTGACATGTTATATCATTAACTAAAAATACTGGGGAAAAAAAACAAAACAACAACTACTAGCTGCTTAGCTAAATTAAAAGAATATTGAGACTTTTTTAAACAAAGCAACCATTTGTTTCTTTTTTCCCCACTATCTTTTTATTAAAAATTTTCAAATATAACAGTAATATTTGGTCAACAACAACAAAAAAGTAGGTAGTAAGAACAACACAAAACCAAGACAGGACTAAGACAAGGCACATACTACAAACCAAATCAGTACCCAGAACAAGACAAAGAACAAAAAATAGGAATTAAATATAAAAAATAAAAAAAATAGAAATATGTAGATATGAGTTTAGGATGTTAAAATTAACAAAATACTTAAATATAATATAATGCTTGTTGGTCAGACGACAGCCTGTCACATCACAATTAAATGTCTCTAAGATACATATTCAATTGTACAAACCATATATTTCAGATTTACAGATTTACATCTTCACTAGGAACCAGTAAAATTGGAGCTGAGAGCCATGGACAGGAAGTCATAAAGTACTGATTGATGGACTTACGGTACCCATTGTTGGTTTTGGTCTTTTCATGGGATTTACAGTATTCACAATAAGAAAATATAGAATAACTTCAGCCATATCCCTTAACTGAATATGCACAGAATAGATGAAGCATCTGAAAGACCAACTGACTTAAACCTGCCAGTGTACCTCCAAGGTAAAGGTCAACAGGAGCCTCTAAGCCTTGTTTGTATAGCCAGTAATTTGAGACCATTTACCACATTGCCCTTGGAGCGTGGCAAGTTAAGCAGAGAACCACAGCTTGGATTCAAAAACAGTTCACTGTTCACATCAACAGCAAACCTGTAGTTCCACTTAAGGAAGATAATTCATTGTCTGTGCTTTTGACCTTTATGACATGACCCCTCTACCAGCTCCCTCCTGTTTGTTGGTTACATAGTATGTTGTGTTAAAGTTTGTACGTGTATTTGCTGCCTGGTGTATGTGCATGAAGCTGGGAAAAGGTCCATTTTAATATAATAACCACTTCTTAACATTCTGACATTATTGTATATTATTCTTATTTTTAACAAATCTCATGAAAACACCAAAACCAACTATAGAGTCCATCTGTCAATACTTTGACTCACTGTCTGTGGCTGTCAGCTCCAAGCCCTTTGGTTCCTACTGAAGACATAGATCTTTAAGAACACCTCACAAATATATAGTTAGATTTTTTCAAAAGCCTCAGTAATTTCCTCAATTTTCAAAAGCCTCAGTAATTTCCTAAAACAGCACTGTAGTTTTAATCAGACAAACAGGAGGATGCAGAAGGTATTTGTTAGGGACTATTTCCAGTTTCTACATTTGAAACAGAATGGCACTCAGCTCGTGGTGCTCAAAGAAAAGATAAACAAAAAGACATACATTCGCAAAACTCAACAGCAATGTCTCTTTACTGCTAGCTCACCTATCACCACTGAGCTAACTAACATTATAGGCAAGGAGGACGCTATTAATGTTTACATCTCACGCTGCACGAACCCCTTGTCCATGAGTAGATGCATGCTTCCTTCTGGACGGTCATTCCAACTGGCAACCTCCTGGGCTGAAAAATGAAGCCAACACAACAGAAGTTCTAAAAAGTGCAGTTCCTCTAAAGGCCACTAGAGACTGGCTCCAAAAGCCAGACTATCATCATAGATCCCCATATTAGAATGTCCAAATTTACAGCAGAAATAAACATGTTTACAGGCTGGTACAAAAAACTGTTTTGGTCTTTAGAGATAATAATTAAGGTTGGGCTGCTTTGAGTGACAGGCTGCTGTCTGCTGATAGTGTCCTCAGCTTCTCAGTCAGATCCCCCTCTCAGTCCTCCACAGCCCCAGCCTTTCACCCAAAAAATGTCACTTCTGGCTCCAAGCAACCAAAAATAAGTCCACAAACCAATGGTTGACATCACAGTAGCTAATTCTATTGTTTTTACAGTCCATGGGTGATAGAGTTGGTGGGTGTAGTTCGGCAGAAAGAAAATAGTACCTACATGACACTGCTCAGAACAAGGTCTCCGGATTATTTGAGTAACCAGGTTACAATTTCTAGAAAGAGATTGCAGTTGAGTTTTTCAGATGGTAATTTTTTTCCTTTTTTTGCACTTAAAGCACCACAGAGTGCCATCTAGTTCCATTATTATTATAGAGAAAGCAGTCATCAATACAGCGGATATATCCAACACTCAGTAACTCCAAAACAATCTAGAGTGTTATCTAGCACTACAGGTAAGAGAAAAAATATGCATCTTTTAGCCTCTCACCGTCACAGGAGATACTATGTTTTCAGGTTGTCTGTCTGTCTGTCCGTCCATGAATGCAATATCTCAATAACGCCTTTCAGATTTGACAAACAAATGTCAAACATTGTCCACTGCGACTCAGTGATGAACTGATTAGAATTTGGTGGTCAAAGGTCACTGTAACTCCACAAAACATGTTTTTGACCATGTCTCAAGAACTCTACTATGACAAACTAACTATGACAAAATTTCAAAGTGCTAACATTTCATTTACAAAAGGTCAAAGGTCAACTTCATTGTGACATCATACATTTCTGTAATAACACTTTTCTGAACCATTACTCAATGTCATAATTCAGGAACAGAAGGGGAGACATTTGGTCAGATTATGAATTGGTGACACTCATCTTGAAACTGTGCTGATTGTATAGATTTTCTGTGCTGGTGGGGGGAAGATGTGTGTGGAGCATCCATGTTTTCACAGACATGGATGTAAGCTGTAAGTGCAACTTCACTGGTGCTCGGAAGCATATAACAGCAAAGCAGTAATTCTGGTTGATTTTGGGATGAACTGCCCTTTGATAATTTTTCAACAGCAGTGGAGCTCTGTGGCACAGAGGAGCAAGATATATCAAGATCTAATACATGCACAGTACTTGTTAATGTATACATTTATTGTTACTTTTGGTCTTACATAGAATTTGTTGATGACAATAAAACAATATAAAACATCCTCAGTCTTATCTTGTAAAGCCAGAAAGCTGAAGCATTGACGATAATGATAATGATGGCTGCATCTGTGAAACAGAGGGGGTTGATGTAACCTGGATTTATCTGTTATTAGGCTGTTATACTGTACATTGTAAATATGCATGAATTCTTACTCCTTCTTGATAGATGGGGTACTCTGAGCAGATTCCAGAGCAGAATATTGCATAAAAACATACCAGACTAAAAACTTCTGGCAAGAATATGCGAGAATACTGCCCCACTCTCAACTTCTCCATCAGTGATCTACTCTCGCTAACACAACATGAAATGCACAAGAAAAATCCATTTGAAGCTGACGTTTCCATGGCGTCCAAGCTGCAACATCCTGGATTACCCCCAGCATCGTGGACATTAGAGATTGGACCTTTCTCACGTTCCGTCCCTCTATCTCTCCAGTCCCTACATTTCCTTTTGCACTCTGCTTCTGATTATCTCTTGAAAGCTAAAAAGCCTCTGCTTCAGTTCTTGGCTCTGATGTATGTCACACATTTCCATTTGGAAGCTTCATTATTAAATGTAGCCTACATATAAAAAAAATATGTTGTGGGATTGCCACACTCCAGATGGAGACCATGAGTAAAAATAACACACTCAACGCATGTCTTAAAATAAGATGTTAGATGTCTAATGACAGAAACATTTGTAATGTGGACAACACTGTACAGATTATGGTTGTGTATCAGTATCTGCGAGAGCGATTTTTCAACTCTCAATAGCTTATTGTGGATCTAAAAAAAGTATTTATATTCATGTGTGTGTGCACAGTACATGCGTGGTTGAGCACTTTGTGGGCGAATTGTGCAGCAGATTCAAACCCTTCAGCACTCTCCATCTCTCTGTTCTCCTCTCTCTCTCTCTCTCTCTCTCTCTCTCTCTCTCTGTCTCTCTACCTATCTCTGTTGCTCTCACTCCCTCTTTCTCTTTGAGTGGAGCAATAGATACACACTTAACAGCGAATGAAGCTCCATTCCTGATATAGGTAATAGATGTTCTGTTGTTCTTTCCTTCTTTTCACATGTCAGTGCTGGGATGATCACACATTCAACCACACTGATCAGTTTCTGCTCTACTGACTTCTTTTGCTTTTGGAAATTTTGCTAATTTCTCTGGAAGCTAATCAGCTTTTTTCCTCAACAAAGTAGGAGAATGAAAGGATCTCAGTGTTGTTTTAGGCATTTTCTCAGCCCTGTTTTATCTTTTTTTTTTTCTCTTTTCTACCCAGGATAACTGTGCCAGAGTGCTGCTTGTTCGTGGAGCCGACAAAGAAGTGAAGAACTACAACAGCCAGAGTCCATTTCAGGTAGAGTGGAAAAAAAAACCCAATTACTCCTCTTTACTGCGGTTTGCATGAACGCGGTTAAAAGAAGATTGATTATAGCTTTTAGGGAAACATCTTTAGTTGCAGCACATTTTCTTGTCTCATTTGTCTCCATGGCAACAGAGAAAAATGGTCAAGGTCAGTTGCAACAAGGGATTGAAAATATCTTTCTGGCCGATATTAGATTTGTTTCAGTTCAACGGTATTTACAGGTGAACCAAAAGTGAGCAACGTACGTCTATAGCTTCTGCTGAGTCTTTTAGCTTCCTGTCAATGAGCTGACGTTTTTACACAAGAGTGTGTTATCTGCAAAACTACTAACTAACTTTGGAGAACAGCTCTAGTTGCAATTTAGAGTTGATCCAACTTGTTCTAAAACCGTTTTTTTAAAACAGAGTGTGCAGGAAGAGGCTTCAGTTATCTAGTGAGAGAATATGAAATGATCCAAATTTGCTGTTACAAGGTTTTCACAAGACAGTAGCGATTTGATATATACAGTACTGTATGTATTCTATATTCAGTCAGTCTCGTACCAAGAGTGAGCTGGGCAACAGGGTAGCATAAACATCCTTACAACAATAAATACAAACAGACAAATACAACTGTCACACACTACAATGACTGAACACAATACTCACCTAATATGCAAGGTCAAAGTAAGAAAAGTAAATTATGATGTATAAAAAGGTAAAAAAAAAAGATAAAACAAAAAATCTGAAATGATTTCAGTAAAAAATCATCAATCATATTAATCAAGAGTGATATTTTCTCGAACCATTCAGATTGATTTAAATTCTTCCAAAGTGATCAGCTCTGACAATCTCAGGTCCTTCTGTGTATGTGCACAGATAAGAGGGAACAAGCCCAAGGAGAAAGGTATATATAAAAAAGCCCACAAATAGGAAATAGTGCAGACATACAGAGATGGCCTTTTAGCAGAAGCTTATAGTGTATAGTGGTGTGTGAGATTTTGACAGCCAGTAATAAAGGGTAAAGTACAATGGTATACAATAAGCTACTTTTTTAGGCACTGGTCAGGTTCATTCATAGAGGGTAAATCAATGTAATCCAATAAAGGCTAAAAAAAAAAAAAAAAAAAAAAAGCCTGGTTTGGAGGGAGAAACAGGATTCATTTCCATTAAAGACACTTAAGTTTCAGTTTGAAAACAAGGTTTTCAGTGTTTGATCTGAATGACAATTTCTGAGGAATAATGACACATAAATACTTGTAACCATTTCAATTTGATCCCACAGGGGTCCTTAAGGGAGGACCAGGTGTCACCAGAAAAATGAGGAAAGTTATTTTCACATTCAGTTCACTCTTCAGTCCCTCCAGGATGTTGCACTTGCAAAAATTAGTGCAAACTCAGCCAACTCCCATGAATTCTACATAACTTTGAATTTAGTCTAATCACTGCAACTTTACCACAGATTTGACTTTTTAAAACAGGTGAAATCCATAGCCTCTCAAAATAATGGATGTAGCCACCGTGACGTCACCCACTAGTGTGTGGACTGCTTTGAAGCCTTGAGTTTGGAATTATGGCTGTTGCCATCTTGTTTTTTTTTTTTTGGAGCTAGAAGTGACCATAGTTTGTCAAGAGGTTGGAGATGCAGTTTTTGGCACTTCTTTGTTGGCTTCACCTTTCAGCCCTAGAAGTTGCTGCTAAGTAAAATGTCATATCATTGTAGAGCTGCGTGCAGTTTATTGATTTGTTTCACCTCTCTCTCACTCTGTCTGTTTATCATGAGACTGCTGCTGTGGCACTGGAGCCCTGTTCCTTGGACAGTCTCACACACACAAAATACAGGCTGTTCTCACAAATTTCACATATGTTTTCTTAGGAAAAGCAATGCACCCAAATACGTACATACTCCACATATTTTGAAAGGCTGCAATCACATGACCAATCTGCTACCAAATTCCAACCAAAATCATAGGATGTCAGTGTTGGTTATTGAACTGTTTCATAGAATATCATATGAACCATTCCATGAGAATACATTGCACAGTGGCAGGGCTGTCTGTTAGCATCACACAGCTAATGTTACCCAACAGTTGGTTTTAATGACAGATTGGTATCTGTGTGATAAACATCTAAGTGCTGGATGTTAACTGCTGCTGCGAGGCTTCTGCCAAGCAGCAAAATATGAAGAGTAGTGATGAGATTATGTTGGGCTATGTTAAGCCAGATTTATGGTTGGGCGTCCAACATTTTTGAAGAGTGTTGCTCAACAGAAATTACAGAGCAGCGCAATGTTTTCAGTTTATGCTTTGGCAAAAAGGTTTCATGGAAACCAGTGACGCCAAAATCAATGAATCAATAAACAGACTGTTGATTTCTTCCCATGGCACTGACATGGAAGCTATTTTGGTTCAGTAAATGTCTGATGTCAGTCATCCTGGTGAAGTCAGTTTGGCCGGCCCATAGATGTATAATGAGACAGCCTCTGTCCTCTCAGCTCCGCAGCAGCTGGTGCTAACAGACAGCTGCTTCTGTGGACAGAGATGCTGAATGCAGGCCGGGTCCATATGGATTGAAAACTATTATCTCCATTGCAATGATATTAACACTACTAATTTAATTGCAGGACACAATACGACATTGTCTGACAAAACAAAATTCTCCAGGTGCCTGACATGGCAGAAAAGTGTCACATGACATTTTTGTCTGTCAAAAATATGCCATTTCTGTCAAGTGACACTCAAAAGAAATGTTGCGTGCCCAAACATAAATTAGGTTTTAGCTCATGTTAAGTGGGCAGAGGGAGAAGGAGGGTCCTTCAGCTGCGTGGAACATCAGCAACAGCTGATTGGAGGTGATCAGCTAGTGATTTGAATTTGTGAAAGCATCACAACTATTTTTTGCAATTTTCACTTACAATATCATCACACCTGTCACCCATACACATCACAACATTCATTGCATATTTTTTAAAAAGCTACCGTGAAATCAGGCATTTCCAGCCCGCACTATCGCAAAAAGAGCCTGCGAAAATCCTGGGGAGACTGACTATAGAGGCGAGCCCAATGTGAATAAGAGTCATAATAGTGACTATTGTGATCATCAGTTCCTCCACAGTTATATTTGTGTATCAATTTAGGGGTCCTCGACATGAAAAAGTTAAGAACCACTGGATTAAAGGGCAACACTATATTATCCATTTATTAATAAATGGTAGATTGATAGTTAATTAATGACTTCAGTTGTTCTTTTATCTCAGACATGTTAGGATGTTACATACCTTGACATGTTTCGGCGGAAACTTCCGCCTTCCTCTGTAGTGTCACTTGGTGGTGGTTGTGACATGTCTTTATCAGCCGATCTGTCATTCAGCTGATATTAGGGAGGCGTGACGGTCCTGTCAGTTTTTGACAGGACAGTCACGCCACCTGCTGTCCATCCGCTGCCTCTCCAGGATGCTGCTCCAGGTGTGGGAGAGCATCTATGCCCCCTCATCCCTGTTCATTGACGGTCACGCCTCCCTAATATCGGCTGATTGACAGATCAGCTGATAAAGACGCGTCACAACCACCACCAAGTGACACTTCTGAGGAAGGCGGAAGTTTCCGCCGAAACATGTCAAGGTATGTAACATCCTAACACATGTCTGAGATAAAAGAACAACTAAAGTCATTATCAGAAACTAAAGACATCATGAACACCACTGAACTGATAGTTAATTGAACTTAAGTTAATAGTTACTTTATTTTTTAACAATAAAATGATGATCAGTAATGGTAACTAACTGTTGGTAATGCTTTAATTTGTGTTATTTTAACAGTTTATTGTTGCACACATTATAACATTTTAAATACTATATTACCGATAAGTATTTGTCAATAGTTAATAATTAACTGGTGATGATTATAATATCTTGTTAAAAAGAGACTTTGTTGATTTTCAACCAGGTTTGTATCGTAACAATGTGTTTAGTATGTGTAAATGAACTGTGGTAAAATTTCCTCCATCTTACCAACGCCCAGATCTCCCTGCTCAAATGTGTCATCTGGCGGGTTGAGGTGGTCTGGAGCTGTTTCTTGAACTACAGATTGTACTTCCACATTTCCATATTGCCTGCCACCACTGAAAGGAAGACCATAGATCAAGAGACAGACTCCTCCCTCTCTGTCACTCTTTCTCTCTACAGCTCAGACCAAACTCTGATCAAATGATAAAACTAGGCAGTGCTGCTTAAATATAATTCGAGATTCTGATACTGTATTGCCTTTTTCTCATCTAAAATAAAAAAACATATTTTAGTGCATTGTTTATCTGTAATAGTGAGAGTTTGTGAACAGAAAGAGAGCACAATACTGTTTTGTGCATAGTGAAAACAGAGGCTGAAAAAAATGAGATCAAACAGTAAAACTAAGCAGTGCTGATCATGTCCCCTGCACTTTTTCAGGAGGCAGTTTTGGTCCCCTGCACTTTATACCATCCAAAAACAATGTTACACACTAATAAAGAAAGACGCGTCGAGCACTAGGACCACACGGAAAACGGCCGCTCAAACCGAAGCCTGTTTCCCTTTAGAGCAGAGGTCTTCAACAGGGAGTCCGCCAACTCTGACCATATTACACAATACACAGGCACCGCTGCAGACAGGCAGCCTCTCACCTCACCGCAGCAGCCCCGACCTGGACGCACACCCACACACACATGAACATGGCAAGTACAAGCAGTAAAGCTCCCGTTTAAACATGTAAATCAGGCCTATTCAATTAGCGGCCCAGAAACAACCTCTGAATGGCCCGGGCAGGGATCGGTACCGAGACCCGGTGTTAAACGGCCCGAGGCAAATTTAATCAAGACCGTGATACTAGTAAGCTCCGACGTTATCGGCTCTTATCGTTACTATTTAAAGTTTGGGTTTCATGTATCATCATTCTGCAACCTCTCTCCTGCAGTTATATAAAAAGTGTTGGTTATGTTTTTGTTGTTATTTCCTAAAGGAAGCGTTAGTCACTCATGATTTGT